CAGCGTTCGCCTGGGGGTTCTCCGTCGACTTCGCCTGCGTCAGGTCGTCGACAACCTCGCCTGGGCTTCGAGCTTCGTCGGAGCTCGTCGGAGCTCCTCCGCCGTCGGAGGTTTGTTTCCACCCCCAATTCTAACAATCTCCCACTTGGAGACCAAACCGACGACAACGGGCTACCTCATCACGCTCCTCTCCTGTGTGGCTCCGCCTTCATCATCTATGCATGAAGGCCAACTGAAGTTGCGCACAACTCCAGTTTCTGAACTGTCACCGTCTTTGTTAACATGTCTGCTGGATTCTTACTTCCTGGAATCTTTTCCAGTTTCAACACGTCATCTTCCAACAGGGATCTGATGAAGTGATACCGAAGCGCAATATGCTTCGTTCTAGAATGAAATGCTGAATTTTTCGCCAAGTGTATCGCACTCTGGCTATCACTGTGCAAAACATTCTTCTCCTGTTTGAATCCCAGCTCTGTCAACAAACCTTGAAGCCATATCATCTCTTTACTGGCTTCAGTCACTGCAACATACTCAGCTTCTGTAGTGGATAGGGTAACGATCTTCTGTACCTGTGACATCCAACTGACAGCTGTAGTTCCAACGGTGAATACATAGCCGGTGGTGCTTCTTCGGTGATCAACTTCGCCGCCGAAGTCTGCATCTACGTACCCTTGCACTTCTACCTCTCCCTTACCAAAGTGCAAACACTTCTGTGTGGTGCCTCGTAGATATCTCAGAATCCACTTGACCGCTTCCCAATGAGCTTTTCCTGGATTCGACATAAACCGGCTGACCACTCCCACTGCATGGCCAATATCTGGTCTCGTACAGACCATAGCGTACATCAAGCTTCCGATAGCTGAGGCGTAAGGTACCTGAGCCATACTCTCTTTCTCTTCTTCTGACTGAGGAGACTGATCCTTCGATAGACGAAAGTGGTTGGCCAAGGGTGTGCTCACAGGCTTGGCGTTGCCCATGTTGAATCTCTGCAAAACACGGTTGATGTACTCCGTCTGAGATAACTGCAAGAGACCTCTCTTCTTATCTCTCGTGATTTGCATTCCAAGGATCTTCTTCGCTGGACCCAAGTCCTTCATGTCAAACTCCTTTGACAGCTGCTGCTTCAAGCTTCTGATATCCTCCATATCTGCTCCTGCAACCAACATATCATCAACATACAGCAGTAGGATGATATAGCTGGACTGATATCTTTTGAAGTAGCAACAGTGGTCGGCGTTGCACTTCTGGAAACCTTCCTTGTGCATGAAGCCGTCAAACTTCTTGTACCACTGTCTTGGGGCTTGTTTCAGGCCATACAAGCTCTTCTTGAGTCTGCACACCAGGTTCTTTTTCTTCTTTTCTTCTGAGAAACCTTCTGGCTGGTGCATGTATATCTCCTCTTCTAGATCTCCGTGAAGAAACGCCGTCTTCACGTCTAACTGCTCGAGATGAAGATCTTCAATTGCTACAATACTCATCACGGTCCTGATAGTATTTAGCTTCACCACGGGAGCGAAAATATCGGTGTAGTCAATTCCTTCCTTCTGCTGGAAACCTTTGACAACTAGCCGGGCCTTATATCTTCTGGAACCATTTTGCTCCTCTTTCACCCGGTACACCCATTTGTTGTGGAGTGCCTTCTTACCCGTGGGCAACTCAGCTAGTTCCCACGTCTGGTTTGATATGAGAGACTTCATCTCATCTTTCATTGCAAGCTCCCACTTGCTCGCATCTCCACACTGACAAGCTTCATCAAAGCTTTCAGGCTCCCCACCATCTGTCAACAACAGATAGTTCATGTATCTCCTGTTGGGTACAGGAGGACGAGAAGATCTTCTTAATATCGGAGCTGGTGCGTCGGGCTCCTGCGCACCATCTTGTCCAACAGGCTCTTCTTGCTGAGGACCCTCTGCATTGGGTTCTTCCGAGAGGTTACTCGGGACATCATCTGCATCTACAAATATTGACTCGCTCTCTGAGTCATCTGTCTTGTGCATGTCCTTGTACATCACCTTCTCGTTGAATATCACATCTCTGCTCCTGATCACTTTCTTGTTTTCGTTGTCCCAAATGCGGTAGCCGAACTCATCTTCACCATAGCCGATGAAAGTGCATTTCTTTGACTTGGGATCAAGCTTATTCCTGCCTTGATCACTAATATGCACGTAAGCTACACAACCGAAAACTTTAAGATGTGAGAGTTTTACCTCCTTTCCGCACCATACCTCCTCTGGTATTCTGTGCTCCAATGGAACCGATGGACCTCGGTTGATCAAGTAAGCTGCTGTGTTGACCGCTTCTGCCCAGAACTGCTTCGGTAGGCCTGATTGTACTCGAATGCTTCTGGCTCTCTCTGTCAACGTTCGGTTCATCCGCTCAGCTACACCATTTTGCTGAGGCGTGCCGGGCACGGTTCTCTCCATTCTGATCCCGTGCTCATAGCAGAACTTCTTGAATCCGGTGTCTTCATACTCACCGCCATTGTCGGTCCTGAGCTTCTTTATTCTCAGACCGGTCTCATTCTCGACCATGGCTTTCCATCTTCTGAAAGCCTCAAACACTTCTGACTTATGTTTCAGAAAGTAGACCCATACTTTCCGAGTGTGATCATCGATAAAAGTCACGAAGTAGTGTTTCCCACCAATCGACGCAGTGGTGGTTGGTCCCCAAACATCTGAGTGAACGAGCTCTAGCTTCTGCTTCCTGGGGGTTCTGCCACTTGTCTGAAAGCTGACTCTCTTCTGCTTTCCAAGTATACATTCTTCACACATATCCATCTCCACTGACTGCAGTCCTGGGAGTTTCCCCTTTGTGTGCATGATTTTCATCCCCTTTTCACTCATATGACCGAGTCTCTGGTGCCACAGCTTTGAAGTCTCATTGCCTGCTGCAACTGAGATCGAACAACGTGCACCTGCTGTCATATACAGGGTACCAGTCTTCTTGCCTCCGGTAATTGTCATTGCGCCCTTTGAGATCTTCCAATCATCTCCATGGAAGGTTGTGGTGTATCCTTCGCCAGCCAACTGGCCTACGGATATTAAATTCTTTCTCAGGTCGGGAATATGCCTGACATCCTTCAGCTCCCATACTGACCCGTTCAACTTAATTTTCACCACGCCTTTGCCCACAATAGCACATGGTTGATCATCACCAAGATATACGTATCCAAGATTTCCGGGAGTATACTTCTTGAAGAATTCTTTCTGAGAAGTAGCGTGGAACGACGCTCCTGAATCTAACACCCAAGATTCCTCCTTGCTCTCCAAAGAGCATATCAATGCGTCGTCTCCTCCTGAAGTGGATGTGACATTCACCTCTGCCTTTGCCTCCTTCTCTTTCTGTGCACTCTTGCACTGATTCTTGTAATGCCCGGTTTTTTCACAATTCCAACACTCGATAGCCTTCGAGCTGTTGCTTGGATTCCTTGATTTGGACCTCCTGTCCTTTGATCTACCTCTGAAGTTTGATTTTCCTCGTCCGTTTCCTCTGGTTGAATTTCTACCTCTTGACTCTGTATGCAATACTGAAGAGGTTGTAGCTTCACCCGTTTCTCTCCGTCGGATCTCCTCACTGAGAACCAAATCACGAACGTCGCCGAACTTCAACTTATTGTTTCCCGACGAGCTACTCACAGCTGTGACTGTAGCGTTCCAACTCTCTGGTAAGGAAGACAACAATATCAACACCCGAACTTCTTCATCAAACTCAATCTCAACTGAACTCAATTGGGTTGTAACCGTATTAAGTTCATTGAGGTGTTGTGCTACTGACGCGCCTTCCGCCATTTTCAGATTGAATAACCACCGCATCAAATGAACTTTGTTCGCGGCTGATGGCTTCTCATACATGTTTGAGAGTGCTGCCATAAGACCTGCCGTGGTCTTCTCCTTCGCTATGTTGAACGCAACATTGCGAGTCAACGTCAATCTGATAACTCCGAGGGCTTGTCTATCTAAAAGGTTCCACTCATCTGACTTCATAGAATCTGGCTTCTTCCCCGATAGTGGTTGATACAGATTTTTCTGATACAGATAATCCTCTATCTGCATTTTCCAGAATCCGAAATCTGATCCATCAAACTTCTCTATTCTCACCTTTCCCTCATCTGCGGCCATGGCTCCCACTTGAATCTGACTTCCTCTAGATCGTTTCACGCTCTGATACCAGTTGTTGGGAATTTAACGCCTAAACCCCTAATGCAACGGAAACGCAGTATAGAGAACAGTACACAAGATTTACGAGGTTCGGCAACTGCCTACGTCCTCGGGAGCCACACAGATAATTTCCTTATTAATCAAATAAGAAATTACAAATCAAGAGCAAATCCCTAAACTGAGATTTCTCAAATAAACACTGTTGCTATAGTGTTAATAATTAAAGGGAATAAACCCCTTTCAAATCTCACTTGAGAATAATTAAACAACCCACTTATAAAACCCCTCTTTTCTTTTCTCTCTCTCTCTCTCTAATCTTTTTCTTAATCTCTTCTTAAATCCCCCTCAACCGAAGCTGGGGATTAAAATCGCTGCTGCGATTTGAGTGATGGAACGCTACTGCGTTTTGGGGAGAAAAATTCGGGGAAGAGGATAGCCGCCGCCAGAGAGAGATCGGGGGGAGCAAGGAACAGCGAAACCCTAGGGTTGGGGTTTGCTTTTATAGGCGAATTCGATGGGGGCTGGCGACAGCCTGTCACCAGCGCACAAGTGGGACGCGAGAGGGTCGCGTTCGCCATCAACCGAGGGTCGCGTTCGTCGTGGCCGAGGGTCGCGTTCGCTCCCAAACGAGGGTCGCGTTCGTCGTGGCCGATGGTCGCGTTTGCCACGCTTTGGACCTCGAGCTCGCCTGCATCACCTTCGAGCTCGTCGGAGCTCGTCGGAGCTTCGCCGGAGCTCCTCGCCGCAATTGAGGTGAGTTTGGTCTACACCCAAACTAACACAACAATCATTAAAATAGGTAGCAGGCACATCAGTAAACTGAAATGCAAGGAACTGAGGTACCTTGACGACGAGATTAGTAGCTTGACGATGACAAACAAGACTGGAATGGCAACGAGAGTAGCATGACGACGAGATTAGTAGCTCGACGACGAGAATGGCAACAAGATCGAAGATGAGATCGGAGAGGAGATTTAAGAGAACGGCAAACCCTAGAAAACAGGGAGTAGCTCGGCGACGAAACCAATGAGATTGGAGATCGGAGAGGAGCTAAGAGATGGATCCGATCAGAAAACGGCGACGAGATCTTGGCCACGGCGATTTTAGGGATCAGAAAATTTTGGAGGTGATTTTAGGGATTTCATTTGAGAGAGAGAGAGATATTTGGTTGCGGTCATGGGCTTTACAAACTCAACTCCCAAACCCACGGACAATTATTAAGCCCAGGAATAATTATTTGACCTATGGCAACGTTTTTAATTAAATGTTGTATTAGCCATTGTAAACCGTTATGATAGATATCTAACGTAACAGTTAAAACTGTTGCGCCTTAACCGCTGCAATAGATCAATTATGTGGTAGTGGCAGTTTATCGAACCACGTAAAATTGGTTTGTTTGTGTTTGTGGTCATTGTAATAGTTTTTAGGATCCCTCGACAAGTCAGTCTTAGAACTGATGAGAGGAAGAGGCGATATCTCACTTTGTTGAGATATTCGCTTCAGATTCTTATTTCCTTGGTGAGACAAGAATTCTTATTGGATCTTTCTCTCTTATTTTGCACCAGAATCTGTCGAAATTTTCGCTATGCATAACAAGTGATATCAGAGCCCCAGATTCCAGATCTAGGGTTTGGTTGAAGGAGTAGATCAATTTGGAGGCTCGTCTAGGGCTTCGTTTGGTGATAAAGGTGGGATCTTTTGGTAAAAGACTCTATCTTTTAAGTTTTGGATCTATTTTTCATTCGTTGGTGCGTTGAGAAAGATGTCATGAAAAGAAGGTGCTTCAGGTGTTGAGGATGGTGCTTCTGACGCGAAGACCATTCAGAATTTGAATATCCACTCTATGAAGATAGATGTGGAGAAGTTTAATGGCACAAACAATTTTGGATTATGGAGATACGAGGTTTTGAATGAGCTAAACGCGCAGAATTTGGAGGATACATTAGAGTTAGATGGCAAGCCAGATGACATTGAAGAGAAGGTTTGGAAGAAGATGAATCGAACGACATGTGGTGTTATTAGGTCTTGTTTGACTCAATATCTAAAATATGATGTGATGAATGAGACTTCTGCAAAAAAGATTTGGGAGATTCTCGAAAGCAAGTATCTGACAAAGAGTGTTGAGAACCGCTTGCATTTGAAGGGGAGACTTTATCGTTTCCAGTTAAAGAGTTACCAACTGCTGTGATTGGAGGTAAAACTCTATTGGATATTTGGTCTGGTAGTGTCACTTTGGTTGAGGCTTCGATGAGAAAGCTAATTGACTCTCAGCAGGTGGAGAGTTTTGGACAGACCTTAGTTGTATCGTAGCAGGTGGAGAGTGATGCTACTCCATATTAGGTGTAGATTATTCCACATACTCCAGATCATACTGTATCATTTGGGATTCCAGTTAAGGGATCAATTGGTTTTGGATGCAGATGATGAGTTGGTTGATTTGAGTGTAGCTGATAGATGTAGTTTGGATATGGTCATTGGTTCACCTCAGGTGGAGGTGTTTGAGGCCATTGGAGGTGCTATCAGCCGCAAAGTAGATGATATTGGAGAAGGGTTATGAACTCTTCTATTGGATTGAGGTCGTTCGCGGCCATTTGGGTGAACTACGTGAGGCTTGATTCCTTGGGCAAGAGGATACGTAGGTAGTCATTTATGATGCAGCCGGTTAGGATTAGTTGATTTTGATGGGGGTGAGATCGATTTGGTGAGTTGATACCGATATTTGGAGAGTGTTAGCATTCTTATTTGGGTCCTCAACTTGTTATGGACTAAGTCTGTTGTCATGAATTGTTTCACTTCGTCCTGGACACAACAAGTAGGACATTTGGATGCTTTGGTGTCGGCTCAGTTTTGGGAAAACTTCGTCGAGGTAGAGAATTATGAATGTGACGTGGGCCAACCCACCACGTGAAGAGATCAAAAAGAAAATGCGTGAAGTTCAAAGCAAGTGGGGGCCACGAATGTTGGTGTGAGGAGTTTTCACATGAGAACATGTGGGGGCCACGAATGTTGGCAGGAGTTGATTGAAGGCCCACCCAAACTGTAGCTATATATAGCTGCTATTTCCTAGGTTTTAAGTGTGCAAAGGAGGTTTCGTACAGGGTGCAAGGCAGAGTTAATTTGGCTGCGGGAGAAAAGGCTGCAGCAGGGAAAAGTCCTAGGGTTTCGTGAAGAGAGAAAAGTATTTGGAGGCTGACCTTTTCTTGTGAAGAAAAGCAAGGAGCCTATTTGAGGGTTTAAATTGTGAGAGTTGTAAACCCATTTGTATTCTTTTCCTCTCTAATAGTAGATCCCCCCTCCTTGCCCCGTGGACGTAGGCAGTTTTTTGAACCACGTAAAATTGGTTTGTTTGTGTTTGTGGCCATTGTAATAGTTTTTAGGATCCCTCGACAAGTCAGTCCTAGAACTGATGAGAGGAAGAGGCGATATCTCACTTTGTTGAGATATTCGCTTCAGATTCTTTTTTCCTTGGTGAGACAAGAATTCTTATTGGATCTTTCTCTCTTATTGTGCAACAGAAACTCTGCCAAAATTTCCGCTGCGTACAACAATGATAACATTAAGGATGAAGTTCATATTTTCTTCGTAAGTACTAGGATCCCTCAAGTATATAATCTGTGAAATCCAGGAGACTTGACATCATGTTATCGATAAGTTAACCGGCGTAGAATTAGTTTAAATAATTCTCAGTTCAAAAAAAAAATACGAATAACGCAACAACTTCATTTGCATGATCAGGAAGATACTAAAAATGTGGTTGAAGGGAGGTTTTTAGCCCTGTCCAAAAAGCCTTGAGGCCTGGGCCCGGCCCCGACCCGAAACCCGGCCCAGACCGAGCCGGGCCGGCTCGGCCCGGCCAAAACGGTTATTTTGATATTTTGACCGTTTTGCTCCATACAACGGTCAAAAAACGACTGTTTGGTGAGAGTTTTTTGGTCATTTGCCTAGGAGGCTCTCTCTATAAATAGAGAGGGGTTTTTACTTCTTCTCCTGACATCAAAACTCATCTATTTCTCTCTAATACCCTCTTATACAATCTTATACTCTCTTATAATCTCTTATACTTTCTAATCCTTTCATCAAATGGCTTCTGGATCTGATTATGAAGAGCAAAATCTATCTCCTACCGATATTGAAATGAGTCTTCCTAGCTACAATAACAACTCCTCCTCCTACCGATCCTACCAGTGGTAATCCCGAATCCGGTGGCGACGAATCTGCACCAAGAGCTCCTAAAAGGCCGAGATCCGATGTGTGGAATTTTTTTGAGAAGACGTCACCAAGGATGAACACGGTAGGATCCTCACCCAGAAGGCTAAATGTGCGTTGTGCGGCTGGATTTTCCAAGCTCATCATAAGAGCGGCACCAACCACCTCAAACGCCATATAGAAAAACACAATAAAGGCCAGACTCCTCAAGGTGATATCCGACAATCTATGATTTCTCAATCCTCCTCTTATGGTAGTCTCGGTACTTGGAATTATGACGCTGCCCGAGCCAGGAAATGCATCATCAGGTTTATCATTCTTAAAAAATTTCTTTTTAAATTAGTAGAAGATGATGAATTTGAAGATTTGTTTAGAGATGGTTTTTATCCCGATTTTAAAAAAATTTCTCGTCAAACCTGTCAACGTGATATTTTAAAATATTATCAAACAGAACAAGGAAAAATAATTTCTTATTTTAAAAATTTAAACTATAAATTTTCTTTAACTTCTGATATTTGGATATCTAGAGCACAAACATGTTATTTATGTATCACAACACACTGAATTAATAAAAATTGGCAAATGTTTAAAAGAGTTGTTTATTTTATTGTAATTGAAGAGTCACATACTGGTATTAATGTAGCCAATTTAATAGTTGAAGAACTTGCGAAACTAAAAATTGGTCAAAGAATATTTTCTCTTTCACTAGATAATGTAAGTAATAACAATGTAGCTGTAAATTTTCTTAAAATAACTCTGTCATTGCCCTGTCATGGTGAACCTTTTCATACTAGATGTATATGACATATATATTTTAAATTTAATTGTTCAAAGTGTATTTACTAAAATTAAACCCATGATAGAAAAAGTTAGAACAATTGCTTAGAGCATCTCCAACAGCTTCCCCATCTTCTTGAAATACTCAAATTTGGGGAATATAGAGTTTTTTTTGGTCCAACAGATTCCCCATCCTATTCTCCAAAATAGGGAAGAGGAGAAAAAATAGGGAGCCTTCCCCAAATCTGCAGCATTCTCCAAATTTTTGGGGAGAGCTTTATTATTGTAATAAATGCGATTTTTCAAAATGGGGAAGCTGTTGGAGTTGGAGCAAAAATAGAGAATATGACTTTTGTTTCTCCATTTTGGAGAAAATTTTGGGGAAGCTGTTGGAGATGCTCTTATATGCATACTGCTTCTGAATAAAGATTTAAAAGATGAAAACAAATGTGTAAAAGAAAAAATATTAAGGCTAGACTAATTCCAAAAGATGTTGACCGTAAGTGGAATTCCACCTATGCAATGTTAAGTGTGACAATAGAATATAAAGAAATTATAAATGATTTTATAAATTATTATGCTTCTAATTCTAGCTCTGGTAGCACTTATGGAATAACTGAAGATGAATGGACAATTATATGTAATTTATATGATATGTTATAAGCTTTTTATGATACTACTATGTCATTATCTGGTTGTTATTATTCAACTTTTACTTTAGCTGCTCTACAAATTTTAAATATTCAAAATTTTTTTGCCAAATATCGTATGGATGATACATTTGGAGCTATAATTTTTCAAATGGAGTGCAAATTTAATAAATATTTTAGGTCTATTCCTCATATTTTTGATTTGGGGGTTCTTATTGATCCATGTTTGAAGGATATTGACTTTCGAAGTTTGTTACAATCATTATATGGTGGACAGATTATAGACTTAGATGATGGATCCACCCTTACTGCTACTTCTCATCATTTAGCTATTAGAAATTATTTTTAAATATTATATGATGAGTATGCAGCTAGACATGTTGTAGCTGCTGTTGGCCTTCTTATTTTGATGATGTTTAACAAACAATTTACCACTAATATTGTTTGTCTAGTCTTGGTATATTTCTATTTATTATAGACAAACAACGTAGTTGGAGGATGGATGGAATAGAGCTTCAACGATCATATCCAAAGGAGGTTGGCGGAAT